ACAGGAGCTGAGAAGAAAAGAAAAAAAAAAAACCCACCCCAAAACTCTCTGCCTCAAATCTGCAGAAGCTTCCCAATATACATTGTGATGCAAAGAAAGAAAGAAAGAAAGAAGGAGGGGGGAGGGAAGTCACACACATCCCCCCCCCCTCCAATTTTCAATGTTACTCAGACACCAGGAAAAAATTATTTTTGTTGCCAGTAGAGTAAAATACAATAAAGTCAGTTTGTTTCTTGGCAAGGAACTGATGTGACCATTCTAAAAACATGGTATTGGTACACAAATCTAAAGGAACTGTAAAAACAGAGCAATAACGTTTGTGTATACAAACTAATATTAGCCATTAGGAGGGAAATCATTATTTTAGAAGACTTAGTTATAAATATTATACTTTTTCCTCACTCATAACATTAACTTCCCTTCCATAAAATCACATGCATAGAAAGACCAAAGTTAGAAAACAAAACACAGTATCAGATAGAAGCAGAGTAAAGTTACCGAAACAGAAGTCATTTCAGTCACAAAAGAAATCGATACTGACCAATGTGACTAGATAACATCATCTACTGGTTAATGTGAAATAACGGTGGTACTGCAGTTCAACTTTTGGTGTACAAGATGTAGCCATTGATGGTTTCTAATCTTTTCTTTATACTTTCCCTTCCTCACAAACTACTAAATCTAGGTAAGAAAAGACAAAAAGTCCCAAACCTTTAAGAGGCCGACTTGGCTTTCTTAACTTTCCCACTAAGACAAAATAATTTTTAAAACTACAAGAGAAATGCAAATATATTTGTCATCTAAGTCTTGAAGATAAAGCTATTCAGTTCTGCTTCTGCCATCACCATTAACAGATTTGATAAATACACAAACTCCTATTCAACACTTCAATATACCAGTTTAAGAAATAAAGTCATCATTATACAACACCATTTGGGAAACCGAGGCTGAGAAGTGTTATCTGAAATTCCTGATAACCTGAAGACTTCCTGAATCATAAATACTATTCAAACCTACCAATCACAAAGGCATATTCCCATTATTTGTCAGCCTTTGTAGTGGATGTCGCAAGTCACATTTCAACAATTTATTTCTATCTAAATATTTCTGCTTGTCCCAGTTTTTTCCCATGACACTTCAAAATTGTCTATCACCCTTGCCAATTTCCCACTTTCTAAAATTGTGCATGACAATGACCCTCTCCTTAGAGTCTGTCAGCCAAACCCACAGCAATCACAGAGGGGAAAGATGACTTTAAAAAAAAGTCAGTGAAAGGCCATCATCTTAGAAGCAAAGAACCCTGGCCCCAAGATAACACAGAAAAGAGGGGTTTTTTTTTCCTCTTCAACCTGAACTATACATTTACATTAATTCTTCCAACTATATTCCTTACACCTCCTGTCCTCCCTTTCCCATTTTTAATCCTTTCTGGCTCACAAAGATTGGCACCCGAACTTCTGCAGTCAAAAAGAGAAGGTTTTAGCTCCACTTTATCAGTGGATGCTCACAAAATGCAGTATGCAACAGCAGAGACCTATTCCTCTGGAACAGCCTCATGAAAAGACAGTTGAAGTGTTGAGGAGGGAGCGAAGGAAAGGAAGGGAAGTCACAGGCTTCCTGCTATTACAAGCCAAATTTAAACCCTTTCTACATCACAAGGGGCTCTGTTGTTGGCAGTAATGCAAAGAGTAGAAAATTTGGTTGATATGGAGTCTTCATTACGCTTAAAATGCCGCTCTTCCATGTTAAAAGACAAGGCACGCTTATGAAATTGCTGTAGGAAGACATCAGTTGATAGCACGGCCAACTGAAGCCGTCCTGCAAGAGCTGGAAGCAGGCTAAGCCCTTCCAAAAACTCCATCCAGAAAAACCTGTGCTGTAGACCGTGCCTTGCTTCTCCAGTATTCTAGTCTGCCTACCAATGCCACAGCGCTGTTACTTCCCACACACCACCTTGACAACAGGAACAAAAAAAAATTATTTCTACACTCAACTACAGATTATAAAAAGAACATTGAGAAATTTTTAAACAGTCTTTACTGTAGTTAACTTGGCTAGAACTTTAACCACCTTCAAATTCACCTTAGCATTGTTAACTATTAAGCATATTAATTACCTGGAACACTTGATTCCATACAGTTCCTCAAATAATTAATTAGGTAAAGCGATCAAGGATTGGAGTCCCAGAGGAAATTCTTCTAGTTTTGTAGAACTACATAGATTTCACCTTGTTAAATACTACAACAAGCCATCTAAATGCACATGACAACTGTCCATCTATCCTAAATCCACAACAAATAAAAAATCCTCGCACTCACTGAAGGAAGCTAGTGCATTTAGCACTGGATATCCTGTTTACTCACCAGAAATTAAGAAGTGTATTTGAGTAAGACTACATAAAAACTTTTAATTCCCCTGTTCATAGCACATTAGACGTCCTTCATAACAGGTATCTTCTTTCTGCTTCAAACATCAATTATCACCGGACAATCAAATCACAGGCAAACAAGTTTTAGACAGGACTTTAAACGGGATTTCTTTCAAGCCACATGAATAGGCTGCACCAGCAGAAATAATTCAAAACTACAGTTATGTACATGGACACTGACATTAAAAAAAAAGATCTTCATCTCCAGCATACTATAGTTTTCACAACCTCTCTGCTGTTATTCATCACATCAACTATGGTGGTGTATACAAACATGTTTATGTTGCAGAACCACTGATAACAACATTAAGAGAAGTAATGATTTACTTTTCCTACCCTTCCAAAAAACTTCCATACTATCTCTCTCATTAGCTGAATCCTGCATCATTTTTCCTCAAGGTAAGTAGGGCAGGAGAGGAATGAATCTGGCAAAAAGGGTAGCAGGGAAAGCAGGACAACATAGGGAGCAGTTAGTTACTTTGAAGAAAATACAAGTTACTTAAGGACGAACGTGTAACTTGCAAGTATTTCAAAACACTGAAAAACAGCCTTCTCCCCCCTGTAAAGTGGATCTACTGCTTATTTTTGGCAACAAAAACCTAAAACTAGATGCATTATAACTTACTTCTTGTACATTTTATATATACCACATACTACCCACAAAAGGACAAGCACAAAGGACTGACTGCAAGACAATACGCCATGGGGTGGACAACCTATGGCTCCTGAGCTGCATGTAGCTCCCCCGCAATTCACGCATCCTCCCACACTGGGGTATGCTGTGTGACTGGAAGCAGGGCTGTGCTGTCATAGGGCTGCTAGGTAATCCAAATCCCTTGCCTATGAGAAGGCAGAAGCCAGCAGAGGCTCCTGAGGCCAAATTTGCCATATTGCCCTGGAATCCAGATGCATACTCAGCTCAGCCCCAACCTACAACACAGAAGTGAGATACTGGAGGAACACACTGCTGTTGCAAATCCCAGCGTGTGTCCCAGTCCCTCCCCAGCTCTGCAGGCTTTGTATAATGGGTCTATGGACTCCCAGTTTCGCACAAATTTGGGTATGCAGCTTGCAGGGTTGAGAAAGTTAATCTACCCACGTAATACACCATTCATTACACCGCAGCATGATCTCTTTAAGAGCATCTGTATGCTTAGAAAACTTACACAAGAACTGTGTTGGTTCAATGGATTGATACTTTTAAAGGCACCAGGGATCCTTGACTTCCACTTTCATTGATGAACTTTTTACTTAGCACCTAATGTTGAGAGCTGCTATCAAAGTCAACTCATGCAAATCTTTTAAGTCGGGCAAGTCTTTTAAAAGGTCTTTAGTAACAAGAGCAGCCAAAACAATGGAGACAACTCAGCACTAACAGGATGCAGGACTGGGCACTTCTGAAAAAGAGTTGTCTTGGATAAAGAAAATATACCTTATAAAGAGGAGCTAAAAACATGTAGCACAGAATGTAATTTATTATGAATCAGTCTGAACTTTCTTCCAAAAGACTGTGTACCTTATCCTGAACTAGCATTTGGGAATTAGGAAGAAGTATTGTCCAGGCTCCTCAGCTAAACTTTTAGCTCAGACATTCTGACTGAAGAATTAACTACTGAAGGACTAGTGAAAGCTTAATCTTCCAGAAAAGGCACTATTCACAAAATAGACGATACTACTACAAGGCAGAGGATGCCAATACAAAAAATGTTATGTTTGAAGACAAGAAAGACAAAACCAGTAATATAATCTTAAAAAAAAAAAATACGCACAGAGAATAAGCTCTGAAATTCTAACACCTTAATTCAATTAGAATTAATTTAGCGGCTTTTGGTAGATACACACACGGACACGTGCAAGCATATAACATGCAGAATAATCTCCTCCTACTCCCTAGCAAGGTTAGATGAAAAAGTTAGCAAACACAAATCTGTCTCAGACAAAAAAAAAATAAATAAGATTTCCATTTTCCCTATCCTAATGCCATTCCACTCCTCACAACTATCATATAATAAAAGAGATTTTAAGTGTGAACAAGAAAAGCTTTTAGAAACATAATTTAACACAAACATCTGGACAAGCAAACACAACAGAAAAGAGAAGAAAATCTGACCTATTACCCCCAAAATTCATAGTACAGTCTCATTTTGTGAGGAGACAGAAACAAAAGCCTTACTTGCTCTAAATGAAGAAAATTGCATTCATTTTGTGCACTAACAGGAGGTATGTTTACAGCAGTATGAATCAATGTGCTACAGCAGAGGTAAATCAGTGTCAGCCATGTTGTGAAAGAAACTGCAGTTAAAAAAAACAAACCACAAAACTTAAGCCTTAATCAAATCAGCTATACTGAACCTTGATATAAATCATTCTATACCGTTAGCTCTTACTTATTATTGGTGCATGACTTCAAGTTAGTGTCTATTAATCTCATCTAAAAATACACGTCCGAATTCTAGAGACCGTGAAACAGTAGCAAGAAGAAAATATACCAAGATATAAAACAACAGCAACGACTACTGTGTGGTGCACAGACGTAAGGTAGGTTGTAAAGTGAAAAAGCAAATGCACTTACTCAGCATTAAATCCATTCACATGCAAGATCCTCATCTGTTTGACTATTGTGCTTTTACCGGATTCACCAGCACCTAGAAAATGAAAGTAAATCAATTTCAGAAGGAAGCATGAGTGATGAAGTGACACACTAGAATTTTTTCTTCAGGGTAAAATCGAGAAAGTTGGTTTTCTCAGTGCAGGAGTGAAAAGTGAAAGAAAAAGAAATAATTGCCACTGGAAACTTCAGTTGTAGCTAAAAATAAATGCCCAGCTCAAGTCATGTGTCAGATCTGAATCTTGGATCATTTCACTGTCCATTTTTCCAGTGTCGACGTTAAAAGCAGATTGCAGGGTTTGGAAGGAAAAGGACAACTTCAACATTTTATAGAGAATAAGACAGGGAACGTCAAAAACTGCTTGCCTTGTCACTACTCTGACGGAGAGAAAGACTGACTGAAGTCCATATTAAACTGAAACATTTTCATTAGAACCTTAAAATATTTTAAGTTTGGCTGCAGTTATCATCACCCAGTCAAAAGACTGTAACTTAAATCACAAGAAATAAAATATGTGGATACTCACATTTGAAAAAGGAAGGCATCCCTTTAAGCCTCCACCCACAAAGCTACAGAAGCCTCCTTCTCTAATTTGTGTCTTGTAAGCAACCTCCCACCCTCTCTACACGTTCCAAATCAATCATATACGCAACGAGACGCAAAGACCACCTTTTGTGGCTACATGCTCCAAATAGCCTCCCCCCCCCGCAGCTCTCCTCTGATTCCCTTATATACCTGCAGTACAAAAAAAACACTCCACTTTACTCCAGTTTCCATAAGTAGATGTATGCTATTTCTGCTGTGCTGCATGGATGCCAGTGCACAGGGCAACCCATCTGCCTATAGTACCCGTCTTTCCATGCATGCTAAAAAGACTCGAACAGCAGCATTTAATTGAGCTGCTCCATGCTGCCGGATTGGTAGCTTTCTATATAAAGCAAACATATTTTTGCAAGAGTAGTATCATAACCTGGCAAAATTTAGAAAGATTCCCCTTTGTGTCTCCTGGCTACTCGTTTATTCCTCTCATTAGCCTATGTCTCAACAACAGAAAATGTATGTCTGTGGCAGAATGGGCACAGAGGTACAGTCTGCATTTATAGGATGCCAGGCCTCTGCTAGCACACACTGACAGCACAAGCCTCCATTTTGAGCCTCACGTTCAAAACTGTATTTTAGCAGTTATATTTCAAAGTTCATCTTCCGACAAATGCATTCCCCTCTGCTTTTTCCCTTCTTTTCCTTCTCCCTCATGAATTCTTAATAGCCCTACTCTTCTCTCCATAGAACCTGCTTGCATGTTTTGCCACCTTAATACCAGAGCCTTACTCCTTTTTCCTCTCCTTGCTCACTGATGTTTTGTAAGCACTTAAGAGAGCAGTTTTTATCTCCAACTCTTTAGGCAAGTGCCATTTCTCCCCAAAACTACTATTTTATAAAACATACACACTCTGTCTCTTCAGGCATACTGCACCACACTACAGGTGGCAAAACTAATCCAGGAATGAGTATCTCAGGTTAAGAAAGAGACTGGGTCCTCTTCACAACTAAGAATTATTCAGGAATACCAGCATATGCTATAGTCGTACTTCCATTCAGAATAATTAATAACAAAATTTCAGCTGTAACTCCAAATCACATCTTATATTTGTAAGTGCTGGGAGCCAAAATCTCTGCTTCACTTAGACCAAGAAGGAGGGTAGATAGTTGCTGCATTTGCTATAAATGCATAGTTTGGTATTGACATACCTGGGTTCTCTGGATCAGCTACAACACCAGTGAACCAAAATGAAGTATTACAACTAAATTTCTGAATAAGTCTATTTCTATATTTGGCCACTCATCAAGGCCCTATTCTTACCAACAATTATGCATACATTTGACTTCACCACCAAGGAGAGTTCCACTAATTTCAGTGAGACTGCTCATGGCAGAAGGGGCAAGCACGTGTACAGCAGCGGGGCCTACAAAGAGCAGTATGAACCCGTTAGAATACTTGGCAGCTCTTCTTTGTTGTTATTTGAATATGACGTGAAAATATTAAGAATACTTTCAAAGTACTTGGGTTTTTTATTTCACATGTCTTAAAGTAAACATGACATAATAATAGGAACGTAAGCTTTTTTATTTTTCACCAGTGAGTTTGTGTTATAGACTGTCCACAATTCATGACAGCTACTGTTCAAAACTGCAACAGCTGAACTATCACTTTAAAACACACGCACACAGATGACCTTACATCCATCACTGGACACCGCAAATTTTTATTTACAAGTATCTGAACTATTTTTCAGCCACCAAAACGAAAGAAAACAGAAGGAAAACCCAGGCAAGCCCATCAAGTTTCTGTTTCCTGAAACTCTGCCTCTTACAAAAGTAACCCACTTGATGACAATGGCTTCTATGTATCTACGTAATGTTTAGCCTGAAATCTGGAAGTCCAAGACATTCCCCAAGAGCTGAAGTCCAAATTATCCCATTAAAAGATTTCTGCCGGCGCCCTGGCAGACTCCTCAGTGCTGCAGGTGCTGCTGTAGTCCCAGTCACTCTCTGTTTACATTAAGCCTCTTTCTTCAAACTGGTATTTGAAAGATTTTACCGGTAAGTGTACACTTCCAAATTCACAACCTTCAAAAATTCTCCCCCCCCCCCCCCAATTACGGTCGTTTCACACCAGAACTGAGTCAGCTCACTGAGGCCTAGCCTCTGCTCCACGCTAAAGCCCCTGCATATAACATGCACAAGCGGTCCCTCGGCGTGAGCAAAACAACCGAGATCTCCTAACTGCATCTTGTTTTAAAAGGCTGCTTTAAAATACTTTGACGCAATGAGTCTGACAAACACCTTCTTGTCCTCTCCGATACCGATTTTTGGACCTTCCCCTTCCTTGAAGCCATAAGCTGCGTTTCTAACTGGATCTCCCGAAAAACACGACACATGCAGGTAACCCAAATTCACCGCTGAGATAACACCTGAAGCCAAGCTACAGACCTTCCCCTTCCTCCAAACGCGCGATACCTCAATTAATTAATGGTGCGGCGAAAGTAAGCCCAAGGAGCCCGCCGGGGGACGGAGGACGTGCGGGCCGCCCGCTCCCGGCCCCGCCCCCGCCCCCCCCCGCCACGGGCAGGGAGCTCCCTCGTCCCCAACGCCGGCCGCCGCGCTTCCCTCCGGGACCGACATCCTCCCTCCGTTTCCCCCAAAACGATCCCCCGACTTCCTCCCTTCCTCTTCCTCCTCTCCCCGGCCCGGCCGCACGCTCCTCGGCTCCCCTGCCTCAGCCCCCGGCGAAGAGGAGCCGTCTCGGGCCGGCCCAGCCCCCGGCGCCTCC